TCATGTAGTAAGTAGTAAGCCCCGATAATCAATCACTTTCGAATCTTCCAACTATTGGGCAAGTGTTTTCTGCTCTACTCTCTTCGGTATCTCCGCTCCGTTCGCTCCACTTTCCTCGCTCCGATCTACAATGCAACAGGTTATGAGCCCAAGCGCCATGTCGTCCACCAGCAACGCCTCCATTGACAAGTTCAACGGAGACAATTACGCAACGTGGAGCCGGTACATGCGCGGTGTGTTTTTGACGAAGTCCGTGTTGCATTGTAGATCGGAGCGAGGAAAGCGGAGCAAACGGAGCGGAGAGACCGAAGAGAGTAGAGCAGAAAACACTTGCCCAATAGTTGGAAGATTCGAAAGTGATTGATTATCGGGGCTTACTACTTACTACATGATTTATATGTGGTGTACATATAAATCATGTGAAGCGTCTCATCATCCTACGCGTCTAATCAACTATGGTAATTACCGTAAGAACTACGTCGTAAATACTAAGCTGAACAGGCGGTTCGGATTGGATCGGTCACGGTTACCAATACTGGTAGAAAACCGATGACCGTCAACACTACCATCATGTGCTGGACAACTGCGAGGAAGCCTGGGTTGCGTGGACAAGTCTGAAGACGCTGTACGGTGGGTCGCAGAAGGCAGGACGCATCTACCTCAAGCGACAACTTTTCAGTATCAAGATGGCTGAAGGCGCGAACGTCATGCATCACTGCAACGAGGTCCTCAACATCTCCGCCAAGCTTAGCGGCATCGGTGCGAAGATGGAAGACGAAGACGTTGCAATTTGTCTGCTACTCAGTCTTCCGAAGAGCTACGAAAATGTGGTGCTCAACATGGAAATGAGCAGCACCGAGCTTCGCACTCAAGATGTGGTGAGAGTCCTGACGAATGAGCATGCCAAGCGTCAAGGAGAAAAAGGGACAACGACAGCGACTACGGTGAAGGCTGAAGATGCAAGCAAGGCATTCAGCGCCGAGCGTGAGCCCTACCAATGCACGTATTGTGGCAAGGTGGGACACACGGTGGATCGTTGCTGGACAAAGCAGAAGAACGAAGGTCGGGGAGCCCGACGCGGCGGCAATGGTCGTGGACGCGGGGCTAACAATGTCCAGTGGGGACATCATGATGAAGGCAATGGCTACGATCGAGTGGCGTTTGCAGTCTCGTTCGAATGTGGAGTTTCGACGAGCATGGACGTGTCTGGAATGTGGGCCGTCGACAGTGGTGCAACGCACCACATTTGCCACGACAAGACCAAGTTCGCAAGTTTGGCAGAGCGCAATGAGGGTGAACTCTTGGTGGCTGATGGCAACAAGGTGGCCATCAAGGGTGTGGGAACCATCATGGAAAAGGTGGTTCTGCCCAACGGTGAAGAGCGTGAGATCGAAATCAAGAACGCGCTATATGTTCCAAGTATGAGCAAGAACCTGCTCTCGGTGCCACAGATTAACAGCCATGGCAAGTTTCAAGTCGTGTTTGACGGGTCCAAGATGTATGTGACTCTCAAGAACTCACAGCAAGTGGTGGCGACAGCGGATCTCGTGGATGGACTCTACTGGCTTCGGACGACTCAACGATCAGCGAATGTGACAACAAGTGGAACCAGTTGTGCCGATCTACATGCGAGAATGGGTCATGCTCCAGTCGATGTACTTCGCAAGATGATCGCGACCAACATGATCAAGGATGTGCGAGTCCCTCTCAAGTCGGGTGGAGCAACTACATGTCGAGGATGTCAACAAGGGAAAATGGTCCAAAAACCATTTCCAAGCAACCGAGACAAGCACAGCTACGATACGTTTGAGCTACTTCATCTGGACATCTGCGGGCCCATGGAAAAGGATTCGCTCGGTGGCAGCAAATATTTGCTGCTGATCATCGACGAAGCCAGTGGATGCATGAAGGGCTTTTGTCTACGAGTGAAGTCCGAGAGTGAAGACTACATCCGGAAATATATCACCATGGTACAGACGCAATTCTGTAAGAAGGTCAAGTTCGTGCGACACGACGGAGCTCGCGAGTTTGCAACCAACTCGCTTCAACTGTTCTACGAAGACGAAGGCATTGAACAGCAGACAACGGTGCCGTATGCACATCAAACAAACGGAACAGCAGAGCGTGCCATTAGGACTATTGTCACGATCGGCCGCAGCATGCTTCATCATGCCAAACTGGACAAGTGTTTCTGGGCCGAAGCAGCGATGACGGCCATCTACGTCAAGAATCGACTGCCGTCACCTAAAGTCGTGCACAAGACCCCGTTTGAGATCGTCTACAACTTGAAACCAAGCGTCAAGCACATGCGAACATTCGGGTGTCAGACATACATACTGACGCCTAAAGAGAATCGACTCAAGTGGGATCCAAAGGCTCGCGCTGGCATATTCGTGGGCTACGAAGAAGTTTCGAAGGCATATCGTGTTTATGACATCGAGGCGGGGCAGGTGGTTATCAGCCGCGATGTCAACTTCGACGAGTCCACCTTTGGACTTCAACTGCCGATCACTGATGAAGATGTCGATGACCTGGACTTCGAATTGCTGGATCTTGATGACGAAGAGCTGCGTCAAATGGAGTACAAGCAAACAGGCAAGCGCAAGAACCGACTCAATGATGAAGATACAGCAGCTCCACGACCGCGTGCAGTGCGTCAACGACCAGGACTAGAAGAGTCAAGCGCGCCGGAAAACAACTCGTCACGACAAGAAGAAGACGAAGAAACGAAGGATTCTGGTGATTCAACACCGCCTGTGTTTTGGCGTGCGAGTGCAAATGCCGTTGAAGCAGCAGTGGACTTATCAGAGCCCTCAACATTTGAAGCAGCAGTAAGCGGCCCTGACCAAGTGCACTGGAGAAAAGCAATTCATGCAGAGCTCGAGTCAATGCGACTTCGCGGTGTGTTTCGTGCAGCCAAGCTGCCCAACGGACAACGCGCCATTGGCACAAAATGGGTGTTCAAGATCAAGCGCAAGGCGGATGGATCCATCGAGAAGTACAAGGCACGTCTCGCGGCAAAGGGCTTTCGCTCGAAGTATGGAATCGACTACACGGAGACGTTTTCTCCTGTGGTCAAGTATGTGACGCTGAGAATGGTGATCGCAATTTCCAAGCATTTTGGATTGCCCATCGACCAGCTTGATGTGGTGACAGCTTTCCTGTATGGCGTCATGAAGGAACAAGTGTTCTGCGTGATTCCTGAAGGCGTCGAACTTGACAGTACGTTCGACTGCCTGGAATTGGTGAAGTCAATTTACGGCCTCAAGCAAGCGTCGCGAGTGTGGAACGAGACGTTCGACGAGTATGTGTGCTCCATCGGATTTCAAGTATCGGACTTCGACCCATGTCTCTACATCAAGACTTCGGACGGCCATTGCGTGTTTATACTGGTCTACGTGGACGACGTCTTGGTGACTGGAAGCTCACTCGAGCTGATTGCACAAACCAAGAACGACCTGAAGACGCGGTTCGAAATGACGGACAGCGGCAAGTGTGCGTTTGTTCTTGGGATCGAGCTTTTGGACGGTGAAGATGGCAGTGTGACACTATGTCAGCGTCGGTATGTCGATGATATCCTCAAGCGCTTTGGCATGGATGATTGCAAGGCAGTCGCAAGTCCAGTCGACATGAGCTCTCGACTTGTTTCAAGTGATGCAACTACCAAGGTCGATGCTCCTTTTCGCGAAGCTGTTGGTGCGTTGATGCACCTGACCACTGCAACGCGTCCGGACATTGCGTTTGCTGTGGGCTATGTGTCGCGGTTCATGGAAAATCCCCAAGAAGAACACTGGGTTGCAGTTAAGCGTATCTTTCGCTACCTACAAGGCACCAAGACGCATGGAATTTGCTACAAGCCAAGTGCAAGGATCGACTTCCGTGGATATTCGGATGCGGATTGGGCTGGTGATCTTACCGACCGCAAGTCAACATCGGGGTACACGTTCATGCTACTCGGTGCGCCAGTCAGTTGGGGCAGCAAGAAGCAGCCAAGTGTTTCGTTGTCCACGAGTGAAGCCGAATACATCGCACTCAGCTTGGCAATTCAAGAGGGCAAGTGGATTCATCGTCTGCTTTGTGAGATCGTGATGGCTGCCAATGAAGAAGGACCGGAACTCATGATCCATGAAGACAATCAGTCGTGTATCAAGATGACGAAGAACCCAGTCAACCACGGCCGTGCCAAGCACATTGATATCAAGTACCATCACATCCGTGATGAGGTCAAGCGCGGTGAAGTGAAGCTCAAGTACTGTGAAACTGCGGTGATGTTAGCGGACATCATGACGAAGGGACTTCACGGGCCACGCCACAAGGAGATGACGGCGACTCTCGGGATTCGTGAGCATTCGGATTGAGGGGGCGTGTTGACGGTCATCGGTTTTCTACCAGTATTGGTAACCGTGACCGATCCAATCCGAACCGCCTGTTCAGCTTAGTATTTACGACGTAGTTCTTACGGTAATTACCATAGTTGATTAGACGCGTAGGATGATGAGACGCTTCACATGATTTATATGTACACCACATATAAATCATGTAGTAAGTAGTAAGCCCCGATAATCAATCACTTTCGAATCTTCCAACTATTGGGCAAGTGTTTTCTGCTCTACTCTCTTCGGTCTCTCCGCTCCGTTCGCTCCGCTTTCCTCGCTCCGATCTACAATGCAACACGCATGTACCGGCTCCACGTTGCGTAATTGTCTCCGTTGAACTTGTCAATGGAGGCATTGCTGGTGGACGACATGGCGCTTGGGCTCATAACCTGTTGCATTGTAGATCGGAGCGAGGAAAGTGGAGCAAACGGAGCGGAGATACCGAAGAGAGTAGAGCAGAAAACACTTGCCCAATAGTTGGAAGATTCGAAAGTGATTGATTATCGGGGCTTACTACTTACTACATGATTTATATGTGGTGTACATATAAATCATGTGAAGCGTCTCATCATCCTACGCGTCTAATCAACTATGGTAATTACCGTAAGAACTACGTCGTAAATACTAAGCTGAACAGGCGGTTCGGATTGGATCGGTCACGGTTACCAATACTGGTAGAAAACCGATGACCGTCAACACGATGCCAATTCCAATGTTCTTCGTCACGATGCAATTGAGTCCATCGTGACCTATGTGGCCAAGCCGAAGGTGCCAGAGGTACGACTTGGTGCCCCCTTGACATCCCGACGACTTGGCTGCATTTGCTTGTTCCGGCGCCACTGGAGTCATTTGCAGCTTGAACAGTCCTTTACCTTCACGGGCACCAATTTTCCACTTGGTCCCTTTCGCTTCTCCATAGCACCCATCCTTCGTGAACGTCACTGGGCCGACATCCTTGGTGAAGCGGCCGACCGAGAACAGGTTTCTGGATAACTTTGGGATGTGCCACACGTTTGTGAGCACACCTTTCTTCATCCCTTGGGGTGTCTTCATCGACATGACAATGTCCCCACTGCCGATTGCTTGGACGATTCCATCATCCGCGAGATGGACATCCACAGCGTCAAACCCCTTGTAGTTCCGCATGAACTTCTTGGAGCACGTCATGTGCTGCGTCGCCCCGGAGTCGACCAGCCAGATGTCGCTCGATTTCGCAGATGTCGTTTCACCGATCGAAAAGAGGTAGTCGCCCGAGTCTTCTTCTTGAGCGACGTTTGCACGTTGTGATCGATAGCGGTCGCCGCTGTCTTGAGCACGCTGTGGCCGGTGTCTCTCCGTGTTTTCTTGGATGCGCGAGGGGCACTCCGCCATCCAGTGACCAATCTTTCCGCAATTGTGGCACGGCCAGGACTTCTTCACTGGTCGCCCTTTGCGCTGATTGTCCCTTGTGATAGACGCTTGACCTTGCGAAGCTTCATCACCTTTACTTCCTTGTGATGAACTTTAGACTTCTTGGTCCGAGTGCAAAACGCAAAGTGAATATATATTTATAATAGGTACTTAGTTCGCAACTTTGAATACTACCTCTAAGCCTATTATTCGCAGTGACGTCATCCAGTGACGTCACCCACTGACGTCACCCACTGACGTCATGCAATGACGTCATCCAGTGACGTCATTTCCTGACTTCGCCCTTACTGGTACATACCGGTACCCACCGGTATAGCGAAGCTTGGTCTTCCACTTGCTTCAACACTTGACGCAGCTTGACGAGGTGTCTTCTTCACAGCCGCTGTCTTTTCAACAGTGACTACGTCAAGGCAAGCAACGTCGCGTTTGGTATGATGCTGCTGCACATGAACGCGGACTACCATCATGTGCTGGACAACTGCGAGGAAGCCTGGGTTGCGTGGACAAGTCTGAAGACGCTGTACGGTGGGTCGCAGAAGGCAGGACGCATCTACCTCAAGCGGCAACTTTTCAGTATCAAGATGGCTGAAGGCGCGAACGTCATGCATCACTGCAACGAGGTCCTCAACATCTCCGCCAAGCTTAGCGGCATCGGTGCGAAGATGGAAGACGAAGACGTTGCGATCTGTCTGCTACTCAGTCTTCCGAAGAGCTACGAAAATGTGGTGCTCAACATGGAAATGAGCAGCACCGAGCTTCGCACTCAAGATGTGGTGAGAGTCCTGACGAATGAGCATGCCAAGCGTCAAGGAGAAAAAGGGACAACGACAGCGACTACGGTGAAGGCTGAAGATGCAAGCAAGGCATTCAGCGCCGAGCGTGAGCCCTACCAATGCACGTATTGTGGCAAGGTGGGACACACGGTGGATCGTTGCTGGACAAAGCAGAAGAACGAAGGTCGGGGAGCCCGACGCGGTGGCAATGGTCGTGGACGCGGGGCTAACAATGTCCAGTGGGGACATCATGATGAAGGCAATGGCTACGATCGAGTGGCGTTTGCAGTCTCGTTCGAATGTGGAGTTTCGACGAGCAAGGACGTGTCTGGAATGTGGGCCGTCGACAGTGGTGCAACGCACCACATTTGCCACGACAAGACCAAGTTCGCAAGTTTGGCAGAGCGCAATGAGGGCGAACTCTTGGTGGCGGATGGCAACAAAGTGGCCATCAAGGGTGTGGGAACCATCATGGAAAAGTTGGTTATGCCCAACGGTGAAGAGCACGAGATCGAAATCAAGAACGTGCTTTACGTACCAAGCATGAGCAAGAATCTACTATCGGTACCGCAGATCAACAAGCACGGCAATTTTCAAGTCGTGTTCGACGGGACCAAGATGATTGTCGCTCGCAAAGGATCGCAACAAGTGGTGGCAACAGCAGATCTTGTGGATGGTCTTTACTGGCTTCACACAGCTCATCGATCGGCCAATGCGACAACAAACAGATGCAACGGTATCGACTTACATGCGCGGATGGGACACGCTCCAGCTGATGTGCTTCGCAAAATGGTGGCCACGAACATGATTAAGTATGTGAAGGTACCTCTCACGTTAAGTGGATCAAGCGCATGTTGAGGATGTCAACAAGGGAAAATGGTCCAAAAACCATTCCCATGCAACCAGGACAAGCGCAGATACGACACCTTCGAGCTACTTCACGTCGACATCTGCGGACCCATGGAGATGAATTCTCTGGGTGGCAGCAAGTATCTACTGCTGATCGTTGACGAAGCCAGTGGATGCATGAAGGGCTTCTGTCTACGTGTGAAGTCGGAGAGTGAAAACTACATCACACGATACATCACGATGGTGCAAGCGCAGTTTGGCAAGAAGGTCAAGCTCGTCCGACACGACGGAGCCCGCGAGTTCGCAACCAACTCGCTTCAAGAATTCTTCGAAGAGGAAGGCGTTGAGCAGCAGACGACGGTGCCATATGCACACCAGACCAACGGCACGGCAGAGCGCGCCATTCGGACTATCGTCACAATTGGTCGCAGCATGCTCCACCATGCTAAGTTGGAAAAGTGCTTCTGGGCCGAAGCAGCAATGACGGCAATCTACGTCAAGAACCGTCTGCCGTCGCCTAAAGTTATGCACAAGACTCTGTTCGAGATCTTCCACAACTCCAAGCCAAGTGCCAAGCACATTGACATAAAGTGTCAACACATCCGTGATGAGGTCAAGCGCGGTGAAGTGAAGCTCAAGTACTGTGAAACTTCGGTGATGTTAGCGGACATCATGACGAAGGGACTTCATGGACCACGCCACAAGGAGATGACGACGGATCTCGGGATTCGTGAGCATTCGGATTGAGGGGGCGTGTTGACGGTCATCGGTTTTCTACCAGTATTGGTAACCGTGACCGATCCAATCCGAACCGCCTGTTCAGCTTAGTATTTACGACGTAGTTCTTACGGTAATTACCATAGTTGATTAGACGCGTAGGATGATGAGACGCTTCACATGATTTATATGTGCACCACATATAAATCATGTGGTAAGCCCCGATAATCAATCACTTTTGAATTCTCCTTCTGCCGAGCAAGTCTTCTCTGCTCCGCTCCTCAAGCCTCTTCGCTCCCTCCGGTCTGTTCTGGTCTTCTCGTCACTCCCGTGTCATATCTTCAACATGAAGTGTCGAAGACACCGCATTTACAACATTAAAGCAGACCAAGTGATGATATCGCATAACTTTACCGTCGACGAATCAACGTTTGGATTCTCACCGGCACTACCACAAGAAGTTGTCGATGACACCGCGTTGGGCTTCGACTTGACGGACATCAGTGATGAGCCTTACACCATGCAGTTCAAGCAAGCTGGAAAGCGCAATAGCCGTTCAAATTGCCATGAACAAGTCTATCAATAGCTACCTCCTAATCGCAGTGGAGCCGGGTTAAAAGAAGCAAGTGCACCAGATGACCTTGAGTCACACCAAGCGAAACGGCTTTCAAGGACTCTATTCAATATGGACGAAGAGAGCAAAGACGGTGACGAAGATGAAGATAACGACTCTATTCTCAAGTCTTTTGGCAAGCAAGTACAAATGCAGTCGAAGGTACTGACTTGTCCGAGCCGAAAATGTTTTAAGACGCAGTTGGTGGTCCGGATCAAGTTCGTTAGCGTAAGGCCTTTTGCGCCGTATTGGACTCAATAAAGCTGCGTGGCATGTTTCGAGAGACCGAGAACCAGCTTTATAGCACACCATTAGCACTAATTAAATGTTCAAGATTGAGCGCAGGATTGATGGATCGATCTTAAAGTACAAGGCGAGACTCGCGGCAAAGGGTTCAAGCAAAGATATGGCATTGACTTTACGGAGACGTTCTCGACAGTTGTCAGGTATATGAAGATCCGCATGATGATCACGAAGTACTTGATCTCGATGCTGGAACAACTGCATGTGATGACAGCTTTCCTGTATGGCGTGTTGAAAAGACAGCGGCTGTGAAGAAGACACCTCGTCAAGCTGCGTCAAGTGTTGAAGCAAGTGGAAGACCAAGCTTCGCTATACCGGTGGGTACCGGTATGTACCAGTAAGGGCGAAGTCAGGAAATGACGTCATTGGATAACGTCAGTGGGTGACGTCACTGGATGACGTCATTGCATGACGTCAGTGGGTGACGTCAGTGGGTGACGTCACTGGATGACGTCACTGCGAATAATAGGCTTAGAGGTAGTATTCAAAGTTGCGAACTAAGTACCTATTATAAATATATATTCACTTTGCGTTTTGCACTCGGACCAAGAAGTCTAAAGCTCATCAGGTTATGAGCCCAAGTTCGTCAGACTCTGAAACCGCCAACAATTCAAGCTTAGCTGCCATGGACGCCTCCTCCCTCCGCATCTCCAAGTTCGATGGAACTAACTTCCACGCCTGGAAGTTCAAGATGCAGATGGTGCTGGAGGAACGGGACCTATGGGAGGTCGTCAGCGGTGAGATCAAGGCGGAACAGTGCGAGACTCAGTTGGACCAAGCGACGTACAAGAGGAAGTCAAGAAAGGCGATGGCAGTGATCTGTCTAGCCATGGAAGATTCCCAGCTACCGTTGGTCCGGTCGGCAAGTGGTGCATGCGACGCATGGTCAAGGTTGGAAGACCACTTCGAGAAGAAGAGTCTTGCCAACAAGCTGTTCTTGCGCCGTCGCTTCTTCACGACAATGATGGAAGAAGGCGACGATGTGCTCGAACACATCAACAAGCTCAAGACGCTGGCGGAACAGCTAGAAGCGGTGGGGGCTCCAGTCTGCGAGGACGATCTGGTGATCACACTCCTCGGCAGCCTGAGTGACTCGTATCAATTCTTGATCACAGCTTTGGAGTCGCGCTCAGACACTCTTAGCTGGGAGCTCGTGACGTCTCGACTGCTTCATGAAGAAATGAAGCGGAAGGAGCAAGGAAGTAAAGGTGATGAAGCTTCGCAAGGTCAAGCGTTCATCACAAGGGACAATCAGCGCAAAGGGCGACCAGTGAAGAAGTCCTGGCCGTGCCACAATTGCGGAAAGATTGGTCACTGGATGGCGGAGTGCCCCTCGCGCATCCAAGAAAACACGGAGAGACACCGGCCACAGCGTGCTCAAGACAGCGGCGACCGCTATCGATCACAACGTGCAAACGTCGCTCAAGAAGAAGACTCGGGCGACTACCTCTTTTCGATCGGTGAAACGACATCTGCGAAATCGAGCGACATCTGGCTGGTCGACTCCGGGGCGACGCAGCACATGACGTGCTCCAAGAAGTTCATGCGGAACTACAAGGGGTTTGACGCTGTGGATGTCCATCTCGCGGATGATGGAATCGTCCAAGCAATCGGCAGTGGGGACATTGTCATGTCGATGAAGACACCCCAAGGGATGAAGAAAGGTGTGCTCACAAACGTGTGGCACATCCCAAAGTTATCCAGAAACCTGTTCTCGGTCGGCCGCTTCACCAAGGATGTCGGCCCAGTGACGTTCACGAAGGATGGGTGCTATGGAGAAGCGAAAGGGACCAAGTGGAAAATTGGTGCCCGTGAAGGTAAAGGACTGTTCAAGCTGCAAATGACTCCAGTGGCGCCGGAACAAGCAAATGCAGCCAAGTCGTCGGGATGTCAAGGGGGCACCAAGTCGTACCTCTGGCACCTTCGGCTTGGCCACATAGGTCACGATGGACTCAATTGCATCGTGACGAAGAACATTGGAATTGGCATCGACATATCTTCGGTGAAGAAGTGGGACGTGTGTGAAGGTTGTGCTCTGGGAAAACAGACTCGAGTGCGCTTCCAATCAAACACTACAGCTCGCACCTCCAAACTCCTCGAAGTGATTCACAGCGACGTATGCGGACCGATGTCGATGGCAACTTTCAGTGGAAAACGGTACTTCGTGACATTCATTGATGACAAGTCAAGATACTGTGTCGTCTATCTGCTCAAGAGCAAATCTGAAGTTGCGGCGAAGTTCATGGAATACGCTGCGATGGCCGAAACGCAAACCGGAAAGCGCGTGAAGTACCTTCAAAGCGACAATGGGGGTGAATACAAGTCCGACAAGCTGGCACGATTCTGCGCGGAACGGGGAATACAACAAAGGTTCACACCCCCATATACTCCTCAGCTAAACGGAGTAGCTGAGAGAATGAATCGCACGCTGGTCGAGTGTGCGCGTTGCATGATGGAACACGCTGGACTGGGAAAGAGCTACTGGGGTGAAGCAGTGATGACGGCGATGTTTCTTCGAAACCGCTGTCCAACACGTGCCATTCACCAAGACAAGTCTCCATATCAAGTGTGGACGATGAAGAAACCGATTCTGGCCAACCTTAAAGTGTTTGGATGCCACGCGTATGTTCAAGTGCCTCAAGACAAACGCGCGAAGTTCGACTCCAAGTCATCACTCTGTCGTTTCCTGGGATACGCCGAACACCAGAAGTCATATCGATTTGAGGAAGTGTCAACAGGAGCGATCAAGATCAGTCGCGATGCCACATTCATGGAAGACAAGTTTGATGAAGGTCCGCGCAACTACAACGATGAGTCAAGTGTCGTTGAGTTTGATGATCATGATGAGGACGAAGAAAAAGAAGAAGGTAAAACTGACGACGACATGGACTCGAGCGACGATGACAACGAAGACACCAGGTCTTCGAAGAGCAACATCAAGAGACACACGCGCACTCAATCACTTGAGAAAGCTACCGTCATTCCAAGTCCCAAGCGAAGAACATACAGAGGTCCGTCGCTTGAGCATGTGTCAGCGGCTGCAATGGATTTTGAAGCAGCCTACATCGTTGATTCAGTGGGGAAACGCCGACTACATTCAAGTCGGCGATGGAATCAAGCGACTCCGGCAAGTGGAAAGAAGCGTGTGACTCGGAGTTCGATTCGCTTCAGAGAAACGACACGTGGGAAATCGTGCCTCTTCCGAAAGGTCGCAAGGCCATCGGGTGCCGATGGGTTTTTCGTGTAAAGGAGAATCAAGATGGCGAAGTTGAACGTTTCAAGGCAAGACTTGTGGCCAAAGGATTCTCACAGAAATTCGGAGTTGACTATGAAGAAACTTTCGCACCGGTGGCCAAGTTCACATCGATTCGTGTGGTGCTCAGTATGGCGGCTAAGTACGGCCTAATGCTACATCAGATGGACGTCAAGACAGCGTTTCTTAACGGCTCCCTCAACGAAGACATCTACATGGACCAGCCGGACGGATACCTGGATGCAACACAGCCGGACTATGTGTGCAAGCTAAAGAGATCACTCTACGGCTTGAAGCAATCGCCTCGCATGTGGAACCAAACAATCGATGGGTTCATGATCAAGATGGGATTCAAGAAGTGCGAATCGGACCACTGCATCTACATCAAGCGAGACGACCAAGACATGATTCTCGTGGTGCTCTACGTCGATGATCTCATCCTGGCCAGCAGCAACAACGAACTCCTCAAGTCAACCAAGATGGCGCTGAGCAAACGCTTCGAAATGACGGATCTCGGTGAGCTCGATTACTTTCTCGGCATGGAGATCAAGAACGACCGTAAGACGGGAATGGTGACTGTACAACAAACCAAGTTTCTCAAGTCCGTGTTAACCAAGTTCGGAATGGATAACAGCAAGCCAGTGAAGACGCCTCAAGATCCCGGCCTGAAGCTAACCAAGAACATGTGTGAACAAGAATGCAAGCACGAAGACACCATGTGCAACGTGCCATATCGAAGTGCTGTCGGAGGCATCATGTATCTCATGGTCGCCACACGTCCGGATCTAGCTGCTGCAGTGGGATCATTATCCCAGTTCTCGTCCGACCCATGCCCGACTCACTGGCAAGCTTTGAAGCGTGTGCTGAGATACCTGCAAGCAACGCCCAATCATGGTCTTGAGTTTACACGTGAAGAAGGAAGCCGTATCTGCGGGTACACCGACGCAGACTGGGCCGGCGACATTGAGTCAAGACGAAGTACAAGCGGCTATGTGTTCATGATGAGCGGAGGATGCATCAGCTGGAAAAGCCAGAAACAACGGACGGTCGCGCTATCTTCAACAGAAGCAGAATACATGGCGCTTTCCGAAGCAACCAAAGAAGCAGTATGGCTCAAAGTGCTTTTGGGGGAACTTGGTGAGATGACAAGCGACGAAGCGATCAAGATGTATGAAGACAACCAAGGATCAATCGCTCTCGCCAAGAACCCGGAGTTCCATAAGAGAACAAAACACATCGACATACGCTACCATTTTGTGCGTGAGAAGGTGGAATCAGGTGAAGTCGTTTTGGAGTATTGCCCGACTCAAGATATGCTGGCAGACATGATGACCAAGCCGATCGCCGCTGTACAATTTGAAAACATTCGCGATCGACTTGGGATCCAAGGTGCCGCAGCTAACGAGTCGAGAGGGAGTGTTGAAAAGACAGCGGCTGTGAAGAAGACACCTCGTCAAGCTGCGTCAAGTGTTGAAGCAAGTGGAAGACCAAGCTTCGCTATACCGGTGGGTACCGGTATGTACCAGTAAGGGCGAAGTCAGGAAATGACGTCAGTGGGTGACGTCAGTGGGTGACGTCACTGGATGACGTCACTGCGAATAATAGGCTTAGAGGTAGTATTCAAAGTTGCGAACTAAGTACCTATTATAAATATATATTCACTTTGCGTTTTGCACTCGGACCAAGAAGTCTAAAGTTCATCACAAGGAAGAAAGGTGAGAAGTGAGGTCAAGCGTTCATCACAAGGGGACAATCAGCGCAAAGGGCGACCAGTGAAGAAGTCCTGGCCGTGCCACAATTGCGGAAAGATTGGTCACTGGATGGCGGAGTGCCCCTCGCGCATCCAAGAAAACACGGAGAGACACCGGCCACAGCGTGCTCAAGACAGCGGCGACCGCTATCGATCACAACGTGCAAACGTCGCTCAAGAAGAAGACTCGGGCGACTACCTCTTTTCGATCGGTGAAACGACATCTGCGAAATCGAGCGACATCTGGCTGGTCGACTCCGGGGCGACGCAGCACATGACGTGCTCCAAGAAGTTCATGCGGAACTACAAGGGGTTTGACGCTGTGGATGTCCATCTCGCGGATGATGGAATCGTCCAAGCAATCGGCAGTGGGGACATTGTCATGTCGATGAAGACACCCCAAGGGATGAAGAAAGGTGTGCTCACAAACGTGTGGCACATCCCAAAGTTATCCAGAAACCTGTTCTCGGTCGGCCGCTTCACCAAGGATGTCGGCCCAGTGACGTTCACGAAGGATGGGTGCTATGGAGAAGCGAAAGGGACCAAGTGGAAAATTGGTGCCCGTGAAGGTAAAGGACTGTTCAAGCTGCAAATGACTCCAGTGGCGCCGGAACAAGCAAATGCAGCCAAGTCGTCGGGATGTCAAGGGGGCACCAAGTCGTACCTCTGGCACCTTCGGCTTGGCCACATAGGTCACGATGGACTCAATTGCATCGTGACGAAGAACATTGAATTGGCATCGACATATCTTCGGTGAAGAAGTGGGACGTGTGTGAAGGTTGTGCTCTGGGAAAACAGACTCGAGTGCGCTTCCAATCAAACACTACAGCTCGCACCTCCAAACTCCTCGAAGTGATTCACAGCGACGTATGCGGACCGATGTCGATGGCAACTTTCAGTGGAAAACGGTACTTCGTGACATTCATTGATGACAAGTCAAGATACTGTGTCGTCTATCTGCTCAAGAGCAAATCTGAAGTTGCGGCGAAGTTCATGGAATACGCTGCGATGGCCGAAACGCAAACCGGAAAGCGCGTGAAGTACCTTCAAAGCGACAATGGGGGTGAATACAAGTCCGACAAGCTGGCACGATTCTGCGCGGAACGGGGAATACAACAAAGGTTCACACCCCCATATACTCCTCAGCTAAACGGAGTAGCTGAGAGAATGAATCGCACGCTGGTCGAGTGTGCGCGTTGCATGATGGAACACGCTGGACTGGGAAAGAGCTACTGGGGTGAAGCAGTGATGACGGCGATGTTTCTTCGAAACCGCTGTCCAACACGTGCCATTCACCAAGACAAGTCTCCATATCAAGTGTGGACGATGAAGAAACCGATTCTGGCCAACCTTAAAGTGTTTGGATGCCACGCGTATGTTCAAGTGCCTCAAGACAAACGCGCGAAGTTCGACTCCAAGTCATCACTCTGTCGTTTCCTGGGATACGCCGAACACCAGAAGTCATATCGATTTGAGGAAGTGTCAACAGGAGCGATCAAGATCAGTCGCGATGCCACATTCATGGAAGACAAGTTTGATGAAGGTCCGCGCAACTACAACGATGAGTCAAGTGTCGTTGAGTTTGATGATCATGATGAGGACGAAGAAAAAGAAGAAGGTAAAACTGACGACGACATGGACTCGAGCGACGATGACAACGAAGACACCAGGTCTTCGAAGAGCAACATCAAGAGACACACGCGCACTCAATCACTTGAGAAAGCTACCGTCATTCCAAGTCCCAAGCGAAGAACATACAGAGGTCCGTCGCTTGAGCATGTGTCAGCGGCTGCAATGGATTTTGAAGCAGCCTACATCGTTGATTCAGTGGGGGAAACGCCGACTACATTCAAGTCGGCGATGGAATCAAGCGACTCCGGCAAGTGGAAAGAAGCGTGTGACTCGGAGTTCGATTCGCTTCAGAGAAACGACACGTGGGAAATCGTGCCTCTTCCGAAAGGTCGCAAGGCCATCGGGTGCCGATGGGTTTTTCGTGTAAAGGAGAATCAAGATGGCGAAGTTGAACGTTTCAAGGCAAGACTTGTGGCCAAAGGATTCTCACAGAAATTCGGAGTTGACTATGAAGAAACTTTCGCACCGGTGGCCAAGTTCACATCGATTCGTGTGGTGCTCAGTATGGCGGCTAAGTACGGCCTAATGCTACATCAGATGGACGTCAAGACAGCGTTTCTTAACGGCTCCCTCAACGAAGACATCTACATGGACCAGCCGGACGGATACCTGGATGCAACACAGCCGGACTATGTGTGCAAGCTAAAGAGATCACTCTACGGCTTGAAGCAATCGCCTCGCATGTGGAACCAAACAATCGATGGGTTCATGATCAAGATGGGATTCAAGAAGTGCGAATCGGACCACTGCATCTACATCAAGCGAGACGACCAAGACATGATTCTCGTGGTGCTCTACGTCGATGATCTCATCCTGGCCAGCAGCAACAACGAACTCCTCAAGTCAACCAAGATGGCGCTGAGCAAACGCTTCGAAATGACGGATCTCGGTGAGCTCGATTACTTTCTCGGCATGGAGATCAAGAGCGACCGTAAGACGGGAATGGTGACTGTACAACAAACCAAGTTTCTCAAGTCCGTGTTAACAAAGTTCGGAATGGATAACAGCAAGCCAGTGAAGACGCCTCAAGATCCCGGCCTGAAGCTAACCAAGAACATGTGTGAACAAGAATGCAAGCACGAAGACACCATGTGCAACGTGCCATATCGAAGTGCTGTCGGAGGCATCATGTATCTCATGGTCGCCACACGTCCGGATCTAGCTGCTGCAGTGGGATCATTATCCCAGTTCTCGTCCGACCCATGCCCGACTCACTGGCAAGCTTTGAAGCGTGTGCTGAGATACCTGCAAGCAACGCCCAATCATGGTCTTGAGTTTACACGTGAAGAAGGAAGCCGTATCTGCGGGTACACCGACGCAGACTGGGCCGGCGACATTGAGTCAAGACGAAGTACAAGCGGCTATGTGTTCATGATGAGCGGAGGATGCATCAGCTGGAAAAGCCAGAAACAACGGACGGTCGCGCTATCTTCAACAGAAGCAGAATACATGGCGCTTTCCGAAGCAACCAAAGAAGCAGTATGGCTCAAAGTGCTTTTGGGGGAACTTGGTGAGATGACAAGCGACGAAGCGATCAAGATGTATGAAGACAACCAAGGATCAATCGCTCTCGCCAAGAACCCGGAGTTCCATAAGAGAACAAAACACATCGACATACGCTACCATTTTGTGCGTGAGAAGGTGGAATTGGGCGAAGTCGTTTTGGAGTATTGCCCGACTCAAGATATGCTGGCGGAAATGATAACCAAGCCGATCGCCGCTGTACAATTTGAAAACATTCGCGATCGACTTGGGATCCAAGGTGCCGCAGCTAACGAGTCGATAGGGAGTGTCGGAAAGACGGCGGCTGTGAAGAAGACACCTCGTCAAGCTGCGTCAAGTGCTGAAGCAAGCCGAAGGCCAAGCTTCGGTATACCGGTGGGTACCGGTATGTACCAGTAAGGGCGAAGTCATGGAATGACGTCAGTTGATGACGTCACTGCTAATAATAGGCTTAGAGGTAGTACTCAAAGTTGCGAACTAAGTACTTATTATAAATACATATTCACTTTGCGTTTTGCACTCGGACAAGAAGTCTAAAGTTCATCAACAGGTTCTGCTAGGTCCGTTGCTTCCACTGCGTTTGCACTTGCACGCCAAAATGTTGGAGGCGTCGAGTCGTCATCTTGATCGTACACGCTTGCATCTTCTTCGTCATCAGACATCGTTTCTGGAGCACTTGATCGTCGTTTCTGGTGACGGTTGGAGACGTGTTCCGGCGCACTTGCTTGTTCCAACCCAGTTCGAGGGCGAGCTGACCGTGACATGCCGGGTCTTGCTTCACTCTTGCGCTTGCCAGTCTGCTTGTAGACGGTTTGACGCACGTCGTCCTCGTTGATCGCCAGGAGGTCGAGGTCCAACTCCGCATCTTCATCATCGTCACTTGGTCGGTCCATCGAAAAGTCAAAAGTCGATTCGTCGAAGGTGATGTCACGACTGATCACCACTTGGCCCGCCTCAATGTCGTACACTCGATAAGCTTTTGACGCTTCTTCGTAGCCCATGAACATCCCTTCACAAGCCTTCGGGTCCCACTTCAATCGCTTCTCCCTTGGTGTCAGGATAAACGCCCGACATCCAAACACGCGCATGTGCTTGACACTTGGTTTCGACTTGTACACGATCTCGAACGGAGTCTTGTGGTCGATCTTGGGTGAAGGCAGGCGGTTCTTGATGTAGATCGCCGTCATTGCCGCTTCAGCCCAGAAACACTTCTCCAGCTTTGCATGATGCAACAAGCTGCGTCCGATCGTGACGATGGTCCTTATCGCGCGTTCTGCGGTGCCGTTGGTCTGGTGTGCATACGGCACCGTGATCTGTTGTTCAATACCATGATCTTCGTAGAAGGTCTTGATGGAGTTGGTCGCAAACTCATGCGCTCCATCGTGCCGAACAAACTTGATCTTCGTGCCGAACTGAGTTTGAATCTTGATAATGTGGTTCTTGATACAGTCTTCACTCTCAGACTTGGACCGCAGACAGAAGCCCTTCATGCAACCGCTGGCTTCGTCAACCACAAGCAGTAAGTATCTGCTGCCGCCGATCGAAACTTGTTCCATTGGCCCGCAGATGTCGAAGTGCAGCAACTCGAACACACCATATTGGCGTTTGTCACGGTTGGTTGGGAATGGTTTTTGAGCCATCTTTCCTTGCTGGCAACCGCGACACACACTTGGACCAGTCGAGTTGAGAGGTGCCTTGGCGTCCTTGATCATGCCAGTGGCCACCATCTTGCGCAGAACTTCGAGGGGTGCATGACCCATGCGCGCATGCAAGTCGATGGTCCCATTGCGTGTTGCTGCATTTGCCGATCGTTGAGGAGTCCGCAGCCAGTAAAGTCCATCGACGAGATCCGCTGTTGCCACGACTTGTGTGGAATTCTTGCGCTTCACTTGCATCTTGGATCCATCGAACACGACTTGGAACCTGCCACCCTTGTTGATCTGTGGCACCGAAAGCATATTCTTGCTCATACTTGGTACGAACAGTGCGTCCTTGATCTCGATGTCGAGTTCGTCACCATTGGGCAGAACCACCCGTTCCATGATGGTTCCCACACCCTTGATCGCAGCCTTGCTGCCATCAGCCACTGATAGTTCGCCTTCCTCTCGCTCATTCAGGCTTGCAAACTTGGCCTTGTCGTTGCAGATGTGATGCGTCGCACCGCTGTCGACTGCCCACATCCCTGGCATATTCTTGCCCGTCGAAAGTCCAGCCTCCAGCGAAACCGCGAACGCAACTCGATCGTAGTTGTCATCGTAGTTGCTGTTGGTTCGCCACTGAACGTTGTTGGCTCCGCGTCCACGAGCATTGTTGCCGCCGCGTCGAGCTCCACCTTGATTTTCGTCCTTCTGCTTGGTCCAGCACCGCTCCGCCGTGTGCCCCAATTTTCCGCAGTATGTACACTGGCGAGGTTCACGCTCGGCACTGAACGCCTTCGCCGCGTCTTCAGTCTTCACCGATGTCGTCTTGTCACCTTGTCTCTTGATGTGCTCATTCGTGAGCACTCTCACGACGTCTCGCGATCGCAGTTCCGCGCTGCTCATCTCCAAGTTGAGAACGACGTTCTCGTAGCTCTTGGGGAGGCTGCGCAACAAGCAGATCGCCACGTCCTCGTCCTCCATCTTGGCGCCGATGCTGCTGAGCTTCGCGCTGATGTTGAGGACTTCGTTGCAATGATGCATCACATTGCCGCCTTCCGCCATCTCCATGCTGAACAGCTGGCGCTTCAAGTAGATGCGTCCAGCCTTCTGCGACCCGCCGTACAGCGTCTTCAAACGCGCCCACGCGACCCACGCCTCTTCACAGTCATCAACCACGTGATGATAATCTGCGCTCATGTGCAGAAGCATCAAGCCGAACGCAATGTTGTTCGTCTTGATGTAGTCGTCACTGGCGCGAGGATCGGCGAAGGTGGGGGGTGGTCTCCCGGTTCACCACGTGCCACGCCGACTTGGTCAGGAACACGCCACGCATGTAGCGGCTCCACGTCGCGTAGTTGTCGCCGTCGAACTTGTCGATGGAGATCTTGGTGGTGGCATCATGAGCAGAGGACATCGTGCTTGGGCTCATAACCTGTTGAATGGTGAAAAGCTTGACGACCGAAACTGGGAGTGATGCTGGGAGTCTACTCGGAAGACCGGAGAAGACACTTGGGGGGTAGATGGAAGATTGGAAAGTGATTGATTATCGGGGCTTACTACTTACTACATGATTTATATGTGGTGCACATATAAATCATGTGAAGCGTCTCATCATCCTACGCGTCTAATCAACTATGGTAATTACCGTAAGAACTACGTCGTAAATACTAAGCTGAACAGGCGGTTCGGATTGGACCGGTCACGGTTACCAATACTGGTAGAAACCGATGACCGTCAACACTTTCCGAAGCAACCAAAGAAGCAGTATGGCTCAAAGTGCTTTTGGGGGAACTTGGTGAGATGACAAGCGACGAAGCGATCAAGATGTATGAAGACAACCAAGGATCAATCGCTCTCGCCAAGAACCCGGAGTTCCATAAGAGAACAAAACACATCGACATACGCTACCATTTTGTGCGTGAGAAGGTGGAATCAGGTGAAGTCGTTTTGGAGTATTGCCCGACTCAAGATATGCTGGCAGACATGATGACCAAGCCGATCGCCGCTGTACAATTTGAAAACATTCGCGATCGACTTGGGATCCAAGGTGCCGCAGCTAACGAGTCGAGAGGGAGTGTTGAAAAGACAGCGGCTGTGAAGAAGACACCTCGTCAAGCTGCGTCAAGTGTTGAAGCAAGTGGAAGACCAAGCTTCGCTATACCGGTGGGTACCGGTATGTACCAGTAAGGGCGAAGTCAGGAAATGACGTCAGTGGGTGACGTCAGTGGGTGACGTCACTGGATGACGTCACTGCGAATAATAGGCTTAGAGGTAGTATTCAAAGTTGCGAACTAAGTACCTATTATAAATATATATTCACTTTGCGTTTTGCACTCGGACCAAGAAGTCTAAAGTTCATCAGAAACAAGCATCGCGGGTATGGAGCGATACTTTCCATGACTTTGTTTGCTCGAATGGATTTCAAGCGTCCGACTTCGACCCATGCCTCGATCTCAAGGTCGAAAGCGGACAGTGCGTGCAGTTGTTGGTCTACGTCGATAATGTGTTGGCAATGGGTAGTTCGACTGAGATGATTGTGATTACCAAGGGTGACTTGAAGATGCGTTCCGAGATCACTGACAGCGGCAAGCGCGCGTTCGTATTGGGCATCGAGCTGGTGGACAAAATCGGCGGTAGTGTGAAAATGTGCCAGCGACGATACGTGGACGATGTTCTCAAGCGTTTTGGCATAAGCGATTGCAATGCTGTCATCAGTCCAACGGATATCAGTTCTCGACGCACACCAAGCGACACAGCAACCAAGATCAACGCTCCGTCTCGTGAGGCAGTAGGCGCTTTAATGCACGTAATGTTGCATTGTAGATCGGAGCGAGGAAAGCGGAGCAAACGGAGCGGAGAGACCGAAGAGAGTAGAGCAGAAAACACTTGCCCAATAGTTGGAAGATTCGAAAGTGATTGATTATCGGGGCTTACTACTTACTACATGATTTATATGTGGTGTACATATAAATCATGTGAAGCGTCTCATCATCCTACGCGTCTAATCAACTATGGTAATTACCGTAAGAACTACGTCGTAAATACCAAGCTGAACAGGCGGTTCGGATTGGACCGGTCACGGTTACCAATACTGGTAGAAAACCGATGACCGTCAACACGCCCCCCTCAATCCGAATGCTCACGAATCCCGAGAGCCGTCGTCATCTCCTTGTGGCGTGGTCCATGAAGTCCCTTCGTCATGATGTCCGCTAACATCACCGCAGTTTCACAGTACTTGAGCTTCACTTCACCGCGCTTGACCTCATCACGGATGTGATGGTACTTGATATCAATGTGCTTGGCACGGCCGTGGTTGACTGGGTTCTTCGTCATCTTGATACACGACTGATTGTCTTCATGAATCATGAGTTCCGGTCCTTCTTCATTGGCAGCCATCACGATCTCACAAAGCAGACGATGAATCCACTTGCCCTCTTGAATCGCCAAGCTGAGTGCGATGTATTCGGCTTCACTCGTGGACAACGAAACACTTGGCTGCTTCTTGCTGCCCCAACTGACTGGCGCACCGAGTAGCATCAACGTGTACCCCGATGTTGACTTGCGGTCGGTAAGATCACCAGCCCAATCCGCATCCGAATATCCACGGAAGTCGATCCTTGCACTTGGCTTGTAGCAAATTCCATGCGTCTTGGTGCCTTGTAGGTAGCGAAAGATACGCTTAACTGCAACCCAGTGTTCTTCTTCGGGATTTTGTTGAAAAGACAGCGTCTGTGAAAAAGACACCTCGTCAAGCTGCGTCAAGTGCTGAAGCAAGTGGAAGACCAAGCTTCGCTATACCGGTGGGTACCGGTATGTACCAGTAAGGGCGAAGTCAGGAAATGACGTCATTGCATGACGTCACTGCGAATAATAGGCTTAGAGGTAGTATTCAAAGTTGCGAACTAAGTACCTATTATAAATATATATTCACTTTGCGTTTTGCACTCGGACCAAGAAGTCTAACGTTCATCAGGTTATGAGCCCAAGTTCGTCAGACTCTGAAACCGCCAACAATTCAAGCTTAGCTGCCATGGACGCCTCCTCCCTCCGCATCTCCAAGTTCGATGGAACTAACTTCCACGCCTGGAAGTTCAAGATGCAGATGGTGCTGGAGGAACGGGACCTATGGGAGGTCGTCAGCGGTGAGATCAAGGCGGAACAGTGCGAGACTCAGTTGGACCAAGCGACGTACAAGAGGAAGTCAAGAAAGGCGATGGCAGTGATCTGTCTAGCCATGGAAGATTCCCAGCTACCGTTGGTCCGGTCGGCAAGTGGTGCATGCGACGCATGGTCAAGGTTGGAAGACCACTTCGAGAAGAAGAGTCTTGCCAACAAGCTGTTCTTGCGCCGTCGCTTCTTCACGACAATGATGGAAGAAGGCGACGATGTGCTCGAACACATCAACAAGCTCAAGACGCTGGCGGAACAGCTAGAAGCGGTGGGGGCTCCAGTCTGCGAGGACGATCTGGTGATCACACTTCTCGGCAGCCTGAGTGACTCGTATCAATTCTTGATCACAGCTTTGGAGCCGCGCTCAGACACTCTTAGCTGGGAGCTCGTGACGTCTCGACTGCTTCATGAAGAAATGAAGCGGAAGGAGCAAGGAAGTAAAGGTGATGAAGCTTCGCAAGGTCAAGCGTTCATCACAAGGGACAATCAGCGCAAAGGGCGACCAGTGAAGAAGTCCTGGCCGTGCCACAATTGCGGAAAGATTGGTCACTGGATGGCGGAGTGCCCCTCGCGCATCCAAGAAAACACGGAGAGACACCGGCCACAGCGTGCTCAAGACAGCGGCGACCGCTATCGATCACAACGTGCAAACGTCGCTCAAGAAGAAGACTCGGGCGACTACCTCTTTTCGATCGGTGAAACGACATCTGCGAAATCGAGCGACATCTGGCTGGTCGACTCCGGGGCGACGCAGCACATGACGTGCTCCAAGAAGTTCATGCGGAACTACAAGGGGTTTGACGCTGTGGATGTCCATCTCGCGGATGATGGAATCGTCCAAGCAATCGGCAGTGGGGACATTGTCATGTCGATGAAGACACCCCAAGGGATGAAGAAAGGTGTGCTCACAAACGTGTGGCACATCCCAAAGTTATCCAGAAACCTGTTCTCGGTCGGCCGCTTCACCAAGGATGTCGGCCCAGTGACGTTCACGAAGGATGGGTGCTATGGAGAAGCGAAAGGGACCAAGTGGAAAATTGGTGCCCGTGAAGGTAAAGGACTGTTCAAGCTGCAAATGACTCCAGTGGCGCCGGAACAAGCAAATGCAGCCAAGTCGTCGGGATGTCAAGGGGGCACCAAGTCGTACCTCTGGCACCTTCGGCTTGGCCACATAGGTCACGATGGACTCAATTGCATCGTGACGAAGAACATTGGAATTGGCATCGACATATCTTCGGTGAAGAAGTGGGACGTGTGTGAAGGTTGTGCTCTGGGAAAACAGACTCGAGTGCGCTTCCAATCAAACACTACAGCTCGCACCTCCAAACTCCTCGAAGTGATTCACAGCGACGTATGCGGACCGATGTCGATGGCAACTTTCAGTGGAAAACGGTACTTCGTGACATTCATTGATGACAAGTCAAGATACTGTGTCGTCTATCTGCTCAAGAGCAAATCTGAAGTTGCGGCGAAGTTCATAGAATACGCTGCGATGGCCGAAACGCAAACCGGAAAGCGCGTGAAGTACCTTCAAAGCGACAATGGGGGTGAATACAAGTCCGACAAGCTGGCACGATTCTGCGCGGAACGGGGGAATACAACAAAGGTTCACACCCCCATATACTCCTCAGCTAAACGGAGTAGCTGAGAGAATGAATCGCACGCTGGTCGAGTGTGCGCGTTGCATGATGGAACACGCTGGACTGGGAAAGAGCTACTGGGGTGAAGCAGTGATGACGGCGATGTTTCTTCGAAACCGCTGTCCAACACGTGCCATTCACCAAGACAAGTCTCCATATCAAGTGTGGACGATGAAGAAACCGATTCTGGCCAACCTTAAAGTGTTTGGATGCCACGCGTATGTTCAAGTGCCTCAAGACAAACGCGCGAAGTTCGACTCCAAGTCATCACTCTGTCGTTTCCTGGGATACGCCGAACACCAGAAGTCATATCGATTTGAGGAAGTGTCAACAGGAGCGATCAAGATCAGTCGCGATGCCACATTCATGGAAGACAAGTTTGATGAAGGTCCGCGCAACTACAACGATGAGTCAAGTGTCGTTGAGTTTGATGATCATGATGAGGACGAAGAAAAAGAAGAAGGTAAAACTGACGACGACATGGACTCGAGCGACGATGACAACGAAGACACCAGGTCTTCGAAGAGCAACATCAAGAGACACACGCGCACTCAATCACTTGAGAAAGCTACCGTCATTCCAAGTCCCAAGCGAAGAACGTACAGAGGTCCGTCGCTTGAGCATGTGTCAGCGGCTGCAATGGATTTTGAAGCAGCCTACATCGTTGATTCAGTGGGGGAAACGCCGACTACATTCAAGTCGGCGATGGAATCAAGCGACTCCGGCAAGTGGAAAGAAGCGTGTGACTCGGAGTTCGACTCGCTTCAGAGAAACGACACGTGGGAAATCGTGCCTCTTCCGAAAGGTCGCAAGGCCATCGGGTGCCGATGGGTTTTTCGTGTAAAGGAGAATCAAGATGGCGAAGTTGAAATTTTCAAGGCAAGACTTGTGGCCAAACGATTCTCACAGAAATTCGGAGTTGACTATGAAGAAACTTTCGCACCGGTGGCCAAGTTCACATCGATTCGTGTGGTGCTCAGTATGGCGGCCAAGTACGGCCTAATGCTACATCAGATGGACGTCAAGACAGCGTTTCTTAACGGCTCCCTCAACGAAGACATCTACATGGACCAGCCGGACGGATACCTGGATGCAACACAGCCGGACTATGTGTGCAAGCTAAAGAGATCACTCTACGGCTTGAAGCAATCGCCTCGCATGTGGAACCAAACAATCGATGGGTTCATGATCAAGATGGGATTCAAGAAGTGCGAATCGGACCACTGCATCTACATCAAGCGAGACGACCAAGACATGATTCTCGTGGTGCTCTACGTCGATGATCTCATCCTGGCCAGCAGCAACAACGAACTCCTCAAGTCGACCAAGATGGCGCTGAGCAAACGCTTCGAAATGACGGATCTCGGTGAGCTCGATTACTTCTCGGCATGGAGATCAAGAACGACCGTAAGACGGGAATGGTGACTGTGCAACAAACCAAGTTTCTCAAGTCCGTGTTGACCAAGTTCGGAATGGATAACAGCAAGCCAGTGAAGACGCCTCAAGATCCCGGCCTGAAGCTAACCAAGAACATGTGTGAACAAGAATGCAAGCACGAAGACACCATGTGCAACGTGCCATATCGAAGTGCTGTCGGAGGCATCATGTATCTCATGGTCGCCACACGTCCGGATCTAGCTGCTGCAGTGGGATCATTATCCCAGTTCTCGTCCGACCCATGCCCGACTCACTGGCAAGCTTTGAAGCGTGTGCTGAGATACCTGCAAGCAACGCCCAATCATGGTCTTGAGTTTACACGTGAAGAAGGAAGCCGTATCTGCGGGTACACCTGATGAACTTTAGACTTCTTGGTCCGAGTGCAAAACGCAAAGTGAATATATATTTATAATAGGTACTTAGTTCGCAACTTTGAATACTACCTCTAAGCCTATTATTCGCAGTGACGTCATCCAGTGACGTCATTTCCTGACTTCGCCCTTACTGGTACATACCGGTACCCACCGGTATAGCGAAGCTTGGTCTTCCACTTGCTTCAACACTTGACGCAGCTTGACGAGGTGTCTTCTTCACAGCCGCTGTCTTTTCAACACTCCCTCTCGACTCGTTAGCTGCGGCACCTTGGATCCCAAGTCGATCGCGAATGTTTTCAAATTGTACAGCGGCGATCGGCTTGGTCATCATGTCTGCCAGCATATCTTGAGTCGGGCAATACTCCAAAACGACTTCACCTGATTCCACCTTCTCACGCACAAAATGGTAGCGTATGTCGATGTGTTTTGTTCTCTTATGGAACTCCGGGTTCTTGGCGAGAGCGATTGATCCTTGGTTGTCTTCATACATCTTGATCGCTTCGTCGCTTGTCATCTCACCAAGTTCCCCCAAAAGCACTTTGAGCCATACTGCTTCTTTGGTTGCTTCGGAAAGCGCCATGTATTCTGCTTCTGTTGAAGATAGCGCGACCGTCCGTTGTTTCTGGCTTTTCCAGCTGATGCATCCTCCGCTCATCATGAACACATAGCCGCTTGTACTTCGTCTTGACTCAATGTCGCCGGCCCAGTCTGCGTCGGTGTACCCGCAGATACGGCTTCCTTCTTCACGTGTAAACTCAAGACCATGATTGGGCGTTGCTTGCAGGTATCTCAGCACACGCTTCAAAGCTTGCCAGTGAGTCGGGCATGGGTCGGACGAGAACTGGGATAATGATCCCACTGCAGCAGCTAGATCCGGACGTGTGGCGACCATGAGATACATGATGCCTCCGACAGCACTTCGATATGGCACGTTGCACATGGTGTCTTCGTGCTTGCATTCTTGTTCACACATGTTCTTGGTTAGCTTCAGGCCGGGATCTTGAGGCGTCTTCACTGGCTTGCTGTTATCCATTCCGAACTTGGTTAACACGGACTTGAGAAACTTGGTTTGTTGTACAGTCACCATTCCCGTCTTACGGTCGTTCTTGATCTCCATGCCGAGAAAGTAATCGAGCTCACCGAGATCCGTCATTTCGAAGCGTTTGCTCAGCGCCATCTTGGTTGACTTGAGGAGTTCGTTGTTGCTGCTGGCCAGGATGAGATCATCGACGTAGAGCACCACGAGAATCATGTCTTGGTCGTCTCGCTTGATGTAGATGCAGTGGTCCGATTCGCACTTCTTGAATCCCATCTTGATCATGAACCCATCGATTGTTTGGTTCCACATGCGAGGCGATTGCTTCAAGCCGTAGAGTGATCTCTTTAGCTTGCACACATAGTCCGGCTGTGTTGCATCCAGGTATCCGTCCGGCTGGTCCATGTAGATGTCTTCGTTGAGGGAGCCGTTAAGAAACGCTGTCTTGACGTCCATCTGATGTAGCATTAGGCCGTACTTGGCCGCCATACTGAGCACCACACGAATCGATGTGAACTTGGCCACCGGTGCGAAAGTTTCTTCATAGTCAACTCCGAATTTCTGTGAGAATCCTTTGGCCACAAGTCTTGCCTTGAAACGTTCAACTTCGCCATCTTGATTCTCCTTTACACGAAAAACCCATCGGCACCCGATGGCCTTGCGACCTTTCGGAAGAGGCACGATTTCCCACGTGTCGTTTCTCTGAAGCGAATCGAACTCCGAGTCACACGCTTCTTTCCACTTGCCGGAGTCGCTTGATTCCATCGCCGACTTGAATGTAGTCGGCGTTTCCCCCACTGAATCAACGATGTAGGCTGCTTCAAAATCCATTGCAGCCGCTGAAACATGCTCAAGCGACGGACCTCTGTATGTTCTTCGCTTGGGACTTGGAATGACGGTAGCTTTCTCAAGTGATTGAGTGCGCGTGTGTCTCTTGATGTTGCTCTTCGAAGACCTGGTGTCTTCGTTGTCATCGTCGCTCGAGTCCATGTCGTCGTCAGTTTTACCTTCTTCTTTTTCTTCGTCCTCATCATGATCATCAAACTCAACGACACTTGACTCATCGTTGTAGTTGCGCGGACCTTCATCAAACTTGTCTTCCATGAATGTGGCATCGCGACTGATCTTGATCGCTCCTGTTGACACTTCCTCAAATCGATATGACTTCTGGTGTTCGGCGTATCCCAGGAAACGACAGAGTGATGACTTGGAGTCGAACTTCGCGCGTTTGTCTTGAGGCACTTGAACATACGCGTGGCATCCAAACACTTTAAGGTTGGCCAGAATCGGTTTCTTCATCGTCCACACTTGATATGGAGACTTGTCTTGGTGAATGGCACGTGTTGGACAGCGGTTTCGAAGAAACATCGCCGTCATCACTGCTTCACCCCAGTAGCTCTTTCCCAGTCCAGCGTGTTCCATCATGCAACGCGCACACTCGACCAGCGTGCGATTCATTCTCTCAGCTACTCCGTTTAGCTGAGGAGTATATGGGGGTGTGAACCTGTTGAAAAGACAGCGGCTGTGAAGAAGACACCTCGTCAAGCTGCGTCAAGTGTTGAAGCAAGTGGAAGACCAAGCTTCGCTATACCGGTGGGTACCGGTATGTACCAGTAAGGGCGAAGTCAGGAAATGACGTCACTGGATGACGTCATTGCATGACGTCAGTGGGTGACGTCAGTGGGTGACGTCACTGGATGACGTCACTGCGAATAATAGGCTTAGAGGTAGTATTCAAAGTTGCGAACTAAGTACCTATTATAAATATATATTCACTTTGCGTTTTGCACTCGGACCAAGAAGTCTAAAGCTCATCAGGTTATGAGCCCAAGTTCGTCAGACTCTGAAACCGCCAACAATTCAAGCTTAGCTGCCATGGACGCCTCCTCCCTCCGCATCTCCAAGTTCGATGGAACTAACTTCCACGCCTGGAAGTTCAAGATGCAGATGGTGCTGGAGGAACGGGACCTATGGGAGGTCGTCAGCGGTGAGATCAAGGCGGAACAGTGCGAGACTCAGTTGGACCAAGCGACGTACAAGAGGAAGTCAAGAAAGGCGATGGCAGTGATCTGTCTAGCCATGGAAGATTCCCAGCTACCGTTGGTCCGGTCGGCAAGTGGTGCATGCGACGCATGGTCAAGGTTGGAAGACCACTTCGAGAAGAAGAGTCTTGCCAACAAGCTGTTCTTGCGCCGTCGCTTCTTCACGACAATGATGGAAGAAGGCGACGATGTGCTCGAACACATCAACAAGCTCAAGACGCTGGCGGAACAGCTAGAAGCGGTGGGGGCTCCAGTCTGCGAGGACGATCTGGTGATCACACTTCTCGGCAGCCTGAGTGACTCGTATCAATTCTTGATCACAGCTTTGGAGTCGCGCTCAGACACTCTTAGCTGGGAGCTCGTGACGTCTCGACTGCTTCATGAAGAAATGAAGCGGAAGGAGCAAGGAAGTAAAGGTGATGAAGCTTCGCAAGGTCAAGCGTTCATCACAAGGGACAATCAGCGCAAAGGGCGACCAGTGAAGAAGTCCTGGCCGTGCCACAATTGCGGAAAGATTGGTCACTGGATGGCGGAGTGCCCCTCGCGCATCCAAGAAAACACGGAGAGACACCGGCCACAGCGTGCTCAAGACAGCGGCGACCGCTATCGATCACAACGTGCAAACGTCGCTCAAGAAGAAGACTCGGGCGACTACCTCTTTTCGATCGGTGAAACGACATCTGCGAAATCGAGCGACATCTGGCTGGTCGACTCCGGGGCGACGCAGCACATGACGTGCTCCAAGAAGTTCATGCGGAACTACAAGGGGTTTGACGCTGTGGATGTCCATCTCGCGGATGATGGAATCGTCCAAGCAATCGGCAGTGGGGACATTGTCATGTCGATGAAGACACCCCAAGGGATGAAGAAAGGTGTGCTCACAAAGGTGTGGCACATCCCAAAGTTATCCAGAAACCTGTTCTCGGTCGGCCGCTTCATCAAGGATGTCGGCCCAGTGACGTTCACGAAGGATGGGTGCTATGGAGAAGCGAAAGGGACCAAGTGGAAAATTGGTGCCCGTGAAGGTAAAGGACTGTTCAAGCTGCAAATGACTCCAGTGGCGCCGGAACAAGCAAATGCAGCCAAGTCGTCGGGATGTCAAGGGGGCACCAAGTCGTACCTCTGGCACCTTCGGCTTGGCCACATAGGTCACGATGGACTCAATTGCATCGTGACGAAGAACATTGGAATTGGCATCGACATATCTTCGGTGAAGAAGTGGGACGTGTGTGAAGGTTGTGCTCTGGGAAAACAGACTCGAGTGCGCTTCCAATCAAACACTACAGCTCGCACCTCCAAACTCCTCGAAGTGATTCACAGCGACGTATGCGGACCGATGTCGATGGCAACTTTCAGTGGAAAACGGTACTTCGTGACATTCATTGATGACAAGTCAAGATACTGTGTCGTCTATCTGCTCAAGAGCAAATCTGAAGTTGCGGCGAAGTTCATGGAATACGCTGCGATGGCCGAAACGCAAACCGGAAAGCGCGTGAAGTACCTTCAAAGCGACAATGGGGGTGAATACAAGTCCGA